ATGCAGGCTTTAGGTTTATCGTGACTTAATTATCTTCTTCTTTTTCCATCTGTGATTAGATATAAAGATATGTCAGACTAGTGTCCTATGTGTAACCTGTGGTTACCCATGTTGGATGAACTCTGAGAAGACGCTCTGCTTAAAAATTTGTTATCTTCTATGTTGAGAACAGATGGAGAATGTAAATGCTGGTCTTTTGACAACACCAGTTTTAAAATCTTAAGGAAAGCTCTGGAAAGGGCGTCATTTCTTTTACAGGGGTTTTTTCAAAGAGAAAGCACAGAACAATTTTTGTCTTTGTTATCAAACATTTTTTTGTAGATCACCGCAGTGCAATCCGCTGTTTTTGAGCTGGGGATAACATATTTTGCCATAGAGCATAACTATCAAATAGCTATTGTCTCTTGATGTCTGTTTAAAAAAATTAAAGAATATTTCTGTTTTAGAATTGAAAGGAGGTTGGGACTAGTTGAGAGTGTAATGCAAAGGCATGAATGTAATTGTATGTTTTTGGTGGGTGTGAGTGGGTGTGTGTGTGTGTTTATGCATGTGTAGGAGCTTCATGTTACTGACATTGCTTTTTACAGCCGGAGAAAGTATCAGACGCTCAGGTAACTCCTCCAACATCATTGCCTTGTTTTGTATTGGTGTCTTTGGCTTTTTTCCATAAATTGATTTTAATGAACATTTAACAAACATATAACAGATTTGAAGTTTGAAGCTTTGAAAACCTAGTGTCCGTTACTCTACTAACTGTGCACTTAATCTTTTAATCCTTTCTTATTCTTTTGAATTGAAAAACTACTGTATTTTCAAAACCTTCCAACTATTATGTATATGCTTTAAAGAGAAAGTAATGCAAACATTTCCTCTTGGGGCAATCTTCTCACCGGCTTTACACTCGTCGCACTTGTTGCCACCCAGTTGTGTGCTCAGGTTGATGTCATTTCAATGATGCACTCATGTTTTTTATCCCTGACACAGGGAGAGGAGTTGTCCAGTTTTGAAGAGTATATTTAAAGGCGATGGTCATTCTGGCCTCGTTTTTCTGCAGAAAGAATTCATTTTCTTGTTGGTCAGGTTGCGTGCCATTGTTAGCATCCATTAGATACCACACTCACTGTTTCTCATGTGGAAAACCTGGGACTGTTAAATTTTGAATGTGGAACCATTGGAGTTAAAGGTTTCTTATTTTACCCCCAAATAGTAATGATGTCTGGGGTTCGAGCGCTTTGATTGTTATTCCTTCAAACAATAAATGCCTTTTAACTCTGGTATATAGTGGTAGGTGACAATATATTATTATAATGATAGAGAGATGAAGAACTGACAAATAACACAGAATAACTCTCAGAGACATGCTTTTTTTGTGCTTTTTTAAAATTGCTGCATCAGAAGTCAATATTGGTTCTTGCTGGATTCAATCTGAACTGTAGGTCAGTCGTACATTCTTTCCTGGCACTGGATTAGTCACGCAAGTGTCTCCCTCCCCATTTTGTACCCAAGCACAGTAACCTCCAGACTGAAATGAGTACATTTATACAAGAACATTGTGTAGACCATAACACTCACCGTCTAATCCTGCTACACATTGATGTGTTCCCTCATGTCTATTTCCTCGTGTTTTTCAGTTTTGAGCATTTTTACACTGCTATGAATCAGTTTGAGCACATTGCTTTACTTAAAGCGTTCTTTTGTTCCAAGTCGATGTTATAAGATGAATATGTGAAGAATATGTATGCAAGCAAGCTCTACCCTTCTGTTATTTTTACCTGTGTTGTTTTTCCCTCTGCACAGCATTTTTTTTTTTTCTGGTACTGCTTTTTTAAGATAACCAGTATAATGTACCAAGAAATCTCATCAGGGGAAACCATCTTTGTGGATGGTTGGTGGGTGCTCTGGTGTGGTTTGCTCCTTCTTTCCTATCTACCGTCTATTGTCCTGATCTCTCCTTTTTTTGTGTTTGTTACTCTTCAGCACTTATGTGACCTTATTGTGTTGCAAGTGCTGTAAAACTATTACAAAACTAGAACCATCTTCTGTCATCTGGGAACTGTGTCATAATGCACTTTTCTCTCCTACTCCTGGCAGTTCTGTTGTCTAGTAGTTTTTTTAGATTTATTATCCAATGTCCTGTTAATGATAGTACATCGTTTTTAAAGGTCTGTGTTCTTGGAGAAAGAGCAAACAGTTGCTTTACATCTGAGAGTCAACTGCATTTGTCCGCATTCACTTTGCTCAGTCTGTCCTGATGACTGCTGTTGTTTTGAAGCAAGGAAGTGTATCGTCTTGTCCTTGTTTTTATAACCTTTTTTTCTGCCTTATTCCCTTCCTCGTCAACTTTTTCTCTTTCCTCCTTGTCCTCCTCTTCCTCCAGTTACACGCCATTTGAGAAGGTATTTGGTAATCATTTGCTTTGATCAGAGATTTTGGTAGATAGTTGGCAGGTGTGATTTGCTCCTTCTTTCCTATCAAACATCTATTGTCCTTATCTCTCCTTTTTGTTTGTTATTCCCTTGTTACACCTCTAATCTTCAGCCCTTATATGACCTACTTGTTTACTAAGTGATGTAAAACTCTTTTTTAACCACAAAAAATAGAGTTTTGTCAAGATATCTAACAAGGGGGGGTCTGCTCCTTTTTTATTTTTGACTACCAAGGTACTTTGGCTTCGAGGCAAGTTCTAACTTCAAGTGCAGCTTTCCTCTCTGTACTTAAGGATTAATTCTTTCCTGTGCTTTTTCACAACTTGAGATGATACATGTTTGTCCACAATTTCTTTGCTTGGTGAATGTCTTCAGTTAGTCATTATAACTAAATATCCCAATGTAGAGGGCCATTGCACCAAACCCAAGAGAACTAAAACTTCCTCACTCATTGTACAATTGTGGGTTCGTTTCCTTTAGTCCTACAGATAAAGAAATATTCTGTAGAATACTTGGTTCATGAAGGGGGAAAAGCTTTTCATCTTGTGTGTGTGTGTGTGTGTGTGTGTGTGTGAATGTAAATGTAATTTCAAACTGCTTTATTCCGTTTTAACTTAAAGTACTGCATCATTGCCATTGTGAGAAAACCGATTAACCCGCCCAGTGAAATTAATTTTCAGGGCTGAAAATTTTCAGTAAATTTATAGAAATCTGTAACTTTGATTTGCTCCGTCATTTTCCGTAAGTGTCCTTTCAGGGGTGAGTCATTCTACTGTGTACTAATCTACTATTGAATAAGCGTATTTTTTCAAATCTGTATAACCGTCGAAAAGTTCAGTTAATTTTGAATTGATCAGTTTCCATCACTGAATTTTACAGGAGAAGCAAAAAAGTTATATGGTTTTATTATGCAGCAATCTGGTGGTTAGCTTGATTTGTAACATTTTTAGATTATTTCTAGTCAAATTTCAGACTTGTCTTTGACTGAGCATATAAATGGGAAAGTTGCTATTGATTCATCAATATTTTAAAAAAGAAGGATATTTTTGGGGTTTGTCAGTCACAAGTGCGACGGTATCCTTGTTCTGAAAGCTGTCTTTTCTGGAATATATATGATTATATAGACTTGCTTCTTTTGCTTTACTAATTATCCCTTTGAGAATTATTGTAATAAAGTATTTTTAAGGATATAGCCATTACCTGTCTAGTCTCGTATTTGAGGCTTGTCGTGACTAAAAGCTGAGATTGTTTGTGGAGATAATGTGTCATTTTTATGGTGTATCAGTTATGTCACTAATGAGCTAAATTTGATATTTCTTTGTTTTCTCTTTTTCGTAGCTTTTCTTTTCTGTGAAGCTATGACTGTGTTTGGTCTGCAATGTTTGCTTGTTTTGTTTTGTTGCTGTTTTATGCGAGTGGGAGTAAGGTTGATGGGAACTTTATGGAATTATTTCTTCTGTTGTTTTTTTTAATTAACTTCTTGAAGGTATCTTTTTTTAATTGCTGGATTGTTTACTCATATATTTGGGATTGCCTTTTATTTAAAAATGGTCTGTGGGTGGTTGGAGGGTGCTCCTGTGTTGTTTGCTTCTTCTTTCCTATCAATGAATAATCAAACATCTATCGTCCTTATCTCTCCTCCCTCTTTTTTGTGTTTGTTTCTCTCTTGTAACACCTCTAATCTTTGGCACTTCCCTTATTGTGTACAAGTGCCATGAAACTCTTACTAAAACTAAAAAATGGTCTTTGACAGCAGAAGGGGAGATGAGGGAAAAGGGAAGGGGAACTGTTGAGTTGGTTTGTTATGGATTATTTTGTTTGCTTTTGTAGGCATCCTGTGGTGTGTTTTTTTCTACCTTGTTCTCTTGGATTATAAAATAGAATGAGGTAATTACAAAAACTGCAACAAGATCTGAGAAAGCCTTTTCTTTTGCTTTTACAAGCAGTCTGCATTTTACTGGCCAGAAAGCATATATTACTGGCGGCAAGGAAAACCCCAAGAAAGAAGAAATTTGATTTTCTCTTTTCAATGGTTTCTCTCTATCCCTACATGGTACTCTCAGGTATACATGTTACCACATACATTATATGATTTTTAAAGAAGGGCTATGAAATATTTGGTTTGTAAGTCCGAAGATTCAGTCCTATGTTCTTACAGGAAAAGTTGTTTTTTTGCTCTGTTTCTCATTTTAACGTATTGAGTCTGTTCCTCTGATCAATTGACTCGAAAGAAAATTGTCCCTATTCCTTTTCTGTTGTGCAGATGTTTAAATACAAATGATGTGTATGCATATTTAAATAACATGTATCAAAACAAAATTTTTTGGATGGCGGCAGCCATTTATATGGAGAAAGTTTTTGACTTTCACAGTATAATGTAGTTTTATGGGGATCCAGGTAATGGAGGTTGTTGAAATGCTTTCTCTGTGACTTGCACAAAAAATATCCTGAGAAACTTTCCAAAGTTAGAATTATTGTCAGTCCAAAACTTGTTTCATGTACACTTTAGCACATACATAACGAATATGCACATTGCAAAACACACACATAGTGGAAGGATTTTCAGGTCCTTATATATTTCCTATACATCTATTTCTTTGCGTTTAAAATACGTACATGACAGCGAAATTTGTACATAACAAAAAGATTTCCGCATCTCGCCAATTTTTCTCTATGCGTACTACTAGACTGTGATTCCCCCCATCCTTTATTTCTGTGCTGCTGACATTTCTGATCTATTCAAGTCATGCTAACACCGGTAATATGTGTGTGTAGAAAAATTTTTGGGTATGATTTTTTATATTCTTTCATTGTTCTGCATTTGCCTCATCCTCAGAGCCCCCTCTCCCGCAGCCTCCACCTCCAGGAACCCGACGAGTCGGTCGCAGTCAGTGTTTGTCAAGGACAAGTCGTCATCGAGCAGTGCCGGTAGCAAGGTCAGCATCCAGTCCAAGGTCAGCCTCTCGCTGAAGAAGCGCGTCTCACAAGTCACTGAGCAGTTTGCTGATGTGTCACTGCGTAACTCTATCGACTCACCACCCATTGAGCTTAGTGAACAGGCATGTGTATTCTCTTGATTTGCTTTGCATGCTTTGGTTTATTCTGGCAGGGCGCTGACTAGTGCCATAGTACACCACTCTACTCATGGCTTCCACAGGGGGAGGACAGGGACTCTTACAAAAGGGGAAGTACCTTTGCTGTACACCACAGTTAAGGAAAAAGCTTTATCAGAATATCTATGGATGAGCACAGTATTAATCAAATGTTTTGTTGGGTATCTGATTCTTTATTTGACAAAATAATGTATTTGAAATTAGAGTCGCTGGTATCTTATGAAAGGCAAAGGGAAAGGGTCTGAATTATTTCTGCTCTCTAAGATAATGTTGAAGTTGTATATTGCTGCTTTTGTCAAATATTATTACATCAATCTATTCTTAAGGAACAGCTCATTTCCATTTCCCTAAAAACAAAAAGACAACTAACAATTCATGCCACTGAAATTTCACTCTGTATCTTTCATGAATGCCGACTAATGTTTCATAATCTCAACTCATGTATTCGCACGATATGCACAAAACGAAAAAGGGATATTCTATCGCTGCTGAAGTTTGACAGATCCAATGTGGTATGGTATAATGTGGACACTCACACTCACTTACGCCCACAGCTGACCTGATAGTAGTTCTGTGCTGACATGTATTTTCAGTTTCAGTTGCATGATAAATGTATCTTGTCATATAATAGCTCGGCAGTATGACCCTTACCGCCATTGCTTCAAGAGTGTAAACCTTTTATTGGCACTGTTTGCAACTCTGTCATTAACATTCATTAATTTAGGAGCATTAGAAGTTTGGATAAAATATGTGGAAAGAGAGGAGAAATATTGTGGATAGCGAAGTGTTATTAGGTAAAAATAAAGTAAACTTAAGTCATCACTGTCAAGACAATATTATAAGACTGGCAGAGTGAAGTATAGTATTGTTCAAATTTCTGTCTATGAGGAGTTAAACAAGCTGTCTTTGTTTACTCAAAAAGGAACATGCATGAGTAAACACTCTGTCTGGCATGCACGTATTCATTAGCATTCACACATACGAACATTCAAGACGACTTACACAGGCTCTGATGTTGCTTAGCATGCAGGGCAGTGTATGGTGACAAGCTGTCATGTCAGCTTCAGTGTTAGGTTTCTGTAAGTTTGTTTGGGTTTGATTGGCCACCCCATGTTGTTTCAGTTGTTACCTTCACTGGTCTCTGAGTGTGTATGTGTTGTTGTTGTCACCGTAGCGACGTTTAAGCTTTCACCCCTCTGTCTACTGTCTTGATGCTGTTTTGCTTATGTCGTTGTTTGTCTTGGCACAGCTTGTTACGCAGGTGTATGTTTACTTGGCAGTTTGATGCATGTAGGTGTATTTGGTTCCATGAACACACAATTGTTTTGTGGGGTTTTTTCCGTGTCTGCAAGTTAGTATATTTTGTTTCCTGGTGATATTTTGAGCATGGTATATATGTTCCCATTTATTATGGGTGATATTGGTATGTATAGAAAGTCACTCCAACTAGGTATCTGAGCTTCCAGTCTTAAGTGTATGTTCTCGGAGTGTAACAGCAGTTGGAAAAGCAAGTATTTTTTGGTGTGTTTTATTCCTTAAAGGGTGTTGGAACTCACATGGATTTTGTCTTATCATCATGTCCCTGCTGGTCATTTTCTGTAACTGGTCTGCTCCTTCTGTTTCTCATTTTTTGCCTTGGGATTGATCAAGTTTATCATTGTCAGCATCATAGTCAGTTCCCAGCCTAACAGAGATGTTTAAGTGTTGGCTGGCAGTGAATTATTACCTTGCCATGCCGTGTCACTTCTGGTTTCACTGCGGTAAAAGTCTTTAAAAAGATGCTGATCATTTTACCATCACTATTATAACCTGCATGTATAGGGAGTAAGAAGAAATGCCTTTTACAAGTCAGCATATTTTAATAAATTAATAACTTAAGTGACAGGAGTCCGTTGCAGTATAAGAAGATTATTATAATCAAACTGATCATACCTTACTGAGCCTATTTCACTGTGCTCCTGTGTTTAAAACAGTTAGGGTTTTTTTTTATATGTGAATACATGCTGTGTCAATCTACGTTTGTGTGGGTAATGTTTCTGCCATTCTCTTGCTGTTGTTGTCCTTGTTTTTTGTTTGTTTTGGGTTTGTTTTTGTTGTTTTATTTGGGGTTGGGGGTGGGGGTTGGCCATTTTAAAACATTTCTTTTCTTAGGTGGTTAGCTCATTTCTAGAACCAGATCTGTTCATATTCCTTTACTCCTTCGTATGTATCATTTTTTTCCTCTTTGGTAGACCCAAAAGAACTTCTGGTTTAACAGCAACTCCCCTTTGATATCACTAATCATGTGTTTCCTATTCTGAACTCTTTTGGTAAACCTATCTGGATCTGACAGTGTAGTTGTTTTTTGGACAACATAATCCCACTGGAAGAAGGGGGGTCTTGATGACGTATTAGCTTTGATCAGAATATTTGACTGAATGATAGGTGTTGGTTGAAACAACTGGTGGTAGCTTGCTCAGGTAGGTAAAGACTCACCACTCAGCTAGAAGTGTTAATAGAATCTGTTCAACGTATTCATACACTTGTATCTTTTCCGCTTTGTCCTACTCCATGGTGTGATTTTGTCCATAGTCTGTATCTATTGACGTTCACTTAAAATCAAGGGTTGTGAAATAATTATATGTTTTTTTCTTGAGCTCATTTGTTGAGGACAAATGGTTATCAGTGCCTTTTTTTAGACAAATGTGAAACCAGACTGTATGGAGCTTTTTTAACTCTATCCATATGTCGTGTTTTACTATCGTATCCATATGACGTGGGGAACTCTGTGCCATCACTTTCCAAAGAGGAAATTTACTTGTTAATCCGATCCGTATGCTTTGCATAGCAGTCTGTCAAAGATTTTTTGTTAAATACTGAAAGTTTCAAAGAGATCTTTGCACTAGAAGTATTCTAAAATGTAGAGAATACAACCCCGGGGGTGCAAAATGACCCCAGGGCGTACGGATAGGGTTAATATCAAGTTCATCTATCTTCTTTTTGAGATGGATGTTGAGGGTATCTGGAGGTTACCGCTCCTTGGTCTTATTCTTATACCGTTCCTTGACAGCTTCTGCCTACCTTTTCCCCAGCATTTGAAGGCCATTGTAATGTTAATGTGCTACTCTTAAGCTTAACCCATTGCCTACTAACCACAAGTTAAGTTTCCCCAGCCTCCCTCCCCCCGTCTGTGTGCTTGAAAGAATTCCCTGGAGGCTGTATTTTCCATAATTTATTTCTTTGAGGGTCCTACAGCTCACTCACTATAAGCACTACACGTAGAAAAGTATATATATCAAATAAAAGAGAGTAAACTTACAATCCAAAAATAGAGATTTTTTTGTGCGCAAAATTTATTCTGCCAAATATGTTGGCTGATGAAAGTGAGAAAGATGCTTTAACAATACATCAATACCAAAGGAACATTCTCCAAGTGGCTTTAAGTGGCAGTCAGATCTCCTACATATAAGAAAACAATATCACAACTCAATTGCAACACGTAAGTCCATTTTCCACAAAAATGCACACTTCTATTGGCTAGTTTTGTCTTTCGCTTGCAACTCTCTACATTCCTCTCTTTGTTCTAAATGCTATCATGTGTGCTTCCCACACACAGCAGGGTAAAAACGGACAGGATCTCTGTGGCAAAAGAACAATGAAGATGGGGATATAACTTTCTTCATTCAAGACTGTGTGTAAAAGTGTAAAATGAAGGATTTAAAACACAGGTTTTCAAGGGCGTACCAGGTATGCCCACAATACACATGGCAACAAATTATTAGGGCGTACCAGGTACACGCACAGCACAGAAAAAGGGTTAAGACTCTAATGGACTTTAGTTTTGTGCTATTCTCTTACAAGTTTATCCCCCCGGGGCAGTGTCACTGACTGTAGTGTCTTTAGGCCATTCCCAAAGGGGGGACATTTCTCGTTCAATCATAGTAGAATTGTAAATGGGCTGATTCATCATGTCACACTCATAACTGTGCCTGATCTGCAACAGGGAACTGCTGCTTTTTCTTTCCTAATCCTTACTATTGTCATTTTCCTCTACTTCTTTTGTTTGTTTGTCACTCTCTTGTGACCTCCTATTTCCAGGGTGCCTTGATAGTCGAAGCAGACTTTGTGCTGTTGAAGCTAGAGAGGTGAGCAGAGTAAGTCCAATTCCCTGTAAAGACTTCTCTGTTGACACCCTCCCCTTGGCGCTCATATGACCTTTTGCAGTTGCGAGCGCCGTAAAACCCTCTACTATTTAAAAAAATAAAAAATTACAAGTTTAGTATACTTCAACACAGACTCTTACTAAATGAAAACCACAATGCTGATAATGTTCCAGGGAGATCGTAGCAGGAAGACCCATAGTGGCTGGTCTCTCGGACTCAGGAAGAAAAGATTCTATTCTGTCAGTCTTTCTTTAACTTTTTATTTTTCTCTCCTTTTCTTATTTTTGCTCCTTTTGAGGGAGGAATGGGTTTAGAACTATAAATACTGACACAAATCTTTCATTCTTGTACAGTTATTTTTGTGGTGTAGTAAGAATGATCAAAATTGTGGTAAATGATCCTTACTTTGTTTGTTTTTTTAATATTTCAATATGGAATGCCATCATCAGCAGTAACGGATGGATCTTTCAATTAACATTGAATTTATTTTTATTTTTTTTTTTTTTCTTTGTGTGTGTGTGTGTGTGTGGTCTTTGTAGGTTTTATATTTTTAGGTTTACTTACCATGATTTGTGGAATCTAAAACTGGCTACTCATATGAGATATAGGTTTTTTGATCTATGTGGTTTAAGGTTTAATCAGTGCCCTGGGTTTTTGGGTTGTTGTTTTTTAGTGCATTATCTTTGTGTTATTTTGCTTGGGTTGATTGATGACAGTTGTAGGTAAGGTGTGCTGCCATGTATATCAAAATCATTCATGAAACTTTCAGACCATATTACTAATACTTTTATATCGTCAAAGAAGAAGACTGCAGAGTGAGATATTTCTGTTTGTGCTCTTCCTGTAGACAGCAGCTTTTGTCTCACTCTGCCTCTTGATAAGTGCTTTTGTATTTGATATACAAATACTAGCCCATGGGTCCTCTTAACCACTGTGTAATCTTGGAGGAAATTCTATTCTGTATGACAGGTGATTGCTCAAAATGAGATGTAAATTGCTGAACTGTTGTGTGCAAGAAAAGAGCATAGAAAGGAAGAAAGCAAATTTAAGTCAATTTTTAGTAACATGATATTATTTTGCCACAGACGTTAAATTGTGAAATGATGGACTAAAATGTCAATTTTGTTTTTTAAACATCTTGACACTGATCATGTAACCTACTCGTAAACCCCACTATTGTCATGAAACACGCATTATTATTGTATCTTAATCTTGTTTAACTATCTCCATATTCAATGTGGAGTGGGTCTGCCGACCCAATTCATACTAAAGGGCTTTTTTCACCATATTCAAGCAGATGGAAACCAGTATGCAAAGATAACAAAGTGTGTAGCTGTAATTTGAAAAGAAATATTTAAATCCCAATCTCAGTTTGAATTGTTGTCTGTCATACATTCTAATTGTCCAACACTGGCTGTGATGTGAGTTTCTCATTGGATCTCTTACTACCACTCTCATATCAAGCTGTTCCCATTTGGAGGCATCCAGGACAAAATGCATTCTATAGAAGAACAAAATTACATTAACAGCCTGTGGGTTGTTTTTTTTCTTCATTTCATAGACTACAATTTTATGGATGAGTGCTTTTATTGACAGTTCATACTGTGCATGATAGCTCTTTTTGAGCAAAGTTATATTTAGCTACAAAATGCAATATAGATTCTGATTGAAACAGAAGGGCATAGACTATTAAATCTGTTTGGAACTAGGGTGTCTGTTGATTTTGTCAAGGAGTCCTTCATTTCATGTATTGTCATTCATCCTGTAGCCAAAATCCTAACACCACTTTGAAAATAAAACATTTTGCATAAGCAAATATACACCCAAACTTATCCAATACTACCTAACTATTATGTGTAAATCATGCCAAGCTTGCATGTTGATTCCCTATGAAATGTCATATATGTATTGGTCTTGTACATAGACCTATTGATATTGAAAGCTATCATGTGGCACTGTTATTGTTTGTGTGGCATCTGCTTTTGTAAGAGGGACGTTTCCGCTTTAAGCTGTATGTATGTATGTATGAGTTGTACTGATCTGTGCCTGTTTAGTGTTTGTCTCACTGTTATTCAAAAGAATATTGATACATATGCCAAAGTTTCTCTTAGTGCGCAAATATGAAGGCCAGAAAAAGAATGTTTAAACAACAATAAATTAAATGTAGCTTCTTCAGTCATAGTGGAAAAATCTAAATGGCAGCGCGGTGTTGCTTGGAAAACAGAAAATCATAAATGTGGCCATTCTACATGAACCGAAATACCTGAATGGGTTCAATCTTAAGTTTTACCCAGTTTATTTTGAAATGGTTTCCTTTAAAACAAAAATTTTCATATATGAACAGTTGTATAGCTTGGCACCTATTCAATTAATTTGTATGTTTGATATTGTATGTAAGCGTTTGATTTGAAAGATAACATGCTGTTAAAACCTTGTCCAAGGTCTGTTGCTTCAAATTAGAGCTTTAACTTTTTCTCAACATTTTTTATTTAAAAAAATTTTTCAAGCATCCCGCTCCAGGTTTTCACCAATTGTTTCATGGTTTGTGTAGAATGAGAAAACAGAAAGAACGTAATCTGGTAATTCCTGGACATGTTAGACTTAAAGAACGAACAGGCTTCAGATTGAACTTCAATTATATTTCTTTGGGGTTATTTAAATTGTTTTGTCTGTTTAGGTTAGTGTTTTGTTTTCTACATTGTCCTCCATAAATGGTAGTTGAAGCTTGACTGTATTTCATGCTGTTGAAAAGGTCAGATTTTGCTCCAGTGATATTGGATATCTGGTAGAGAATGAAGTGTCTCAATGGGTTGTGAGTTACGACTTGTTTTTGTGTTAATTACTGATGTTGCTTTAAGTTTTCTTTATGTCAGTGACCAAAACACACTGAGATATAAAGTCTTACATCTGTTGTTGAACCCTATTGTAATATTTATCATGCTTATACCTAATACTTTAGAATTTTTATCTTTTCAAAACTGAAATAGGTGCCTTATTGCTGCAGCTTTAATTATGTATTTGTATATATGCTTTGTTTTTAAAGCTCATTCCTATTGTTTCAGAGAGTTTTGTAGATCTTTATAGTTGTGATAACAGACTCAAATGCAATGGTTCCTCCAAGTCCCCTCGGAATTGAAAACAGTTATAGTTACGCTTAAACATTTTTTAAATCAGAAATAATTTATAGAAAGATGGTCTTATCAGGGAGTTTAATCTTGAATATTTTTTATATGTTTTCCTTGCAAAAAAAAGTTGTTGTAGAAAGGGAGAGAAGGAGATACAGATCAAAGGATTCTTGCCGTTAAGGATCACAGTTCTTGTATTATTGGTGACTTTAATGAGCTGAATTTAACTTCATATTTCTGCCTTTTTGCAATACAGTTGACCCCTAAACGACCCCCACGGCCAGACACGGAGCGCAGACCCAGCAGACCACCAAGTGTTCAAATGAAGCTGGAGAACATGCGGGATAAATCTGGGAGTGTGAACAGCCTTACCTCATCGCGGTCTGGTGGAACGTTTACCTCACGTCTCTCTGATGGTGGGTTGTTGTTTTTTTTGGCTAAACATGGTAAAAGGCAGACCCACCATTGCTCTTGTGAGCGAGTTGTGTGTGTGTGTCCTAAATTTGTCAGACCATAGTGTTGTGGATAGTTTTTCAGAAAAAAAACAACTTTTGTTTTCATTCTGTGCATCATTTGGTCGCTTTTAAGCAAAAGGGGTGTATCCCGAAAAAAATTTGAGAAAATTCATTGTAAAGTTTTTGCCCCTTATTCACTTCTTTAAGAGTTTTCTCTATAGCCAAACAAATATACATATCATTGAAACCAAACTTCTCCTATTGGTAGGGCAATGCCCACCTTTGGTGTAGGTCAAGATTTTTAGAAACCCCCAAAATCTGGGTTAGCCTGCTTGTCCTTAAAAGCGACCATTTATCCTATAACGTAGTAAATGAGTGATGGCAACACAGTAGAACTGGGGATTGATAAAGCTCAGTTTTGAAAGGACGTTTTACACCTTTATACAATCATTTAATATGTTTTAAAAGTTCAATCTAGTGATTTTTATAATCTATCCCCAGCTTGAAACTGTTATAGGTTTTGATCTTTTGAATCAATAGCGGCTCAAAAATGACGAAGTCACGTCTGTCAGTAAAGTGTCAGCCAGGGAGAGATTTATTATTTGTGTTTGAGCAATAAAACACTGCAGGCAAATGAGTTTTACCATGATTATTTTGGGGAAAAATACAAAAGAATGTTGCTTTGGAAAAGCAATTTTTCATCTTAAAATACTGCCATACTAATGCATTTCATGTTAATTTTCACATTACTTAACCAGTTTTTAGAGCTGTTAAAAGAGTCAGCTCCTCCTTCAAGGAATGAGCTTAGTGGACTCGTGGCATGGCATGATCTTTTTTCGGAAATATAAATCTTATATCTACAAGGGGGTTTTCCTTTTTCTCTGTTTGATTTTATATGTACAGCTTATTTTGGTAAAATTGGAAGTGTTGTCTAGATGTCACTGATCCAAGGGTTGTGTAAGAATGACTTGATTTTTTAAATTTTGATCCGTTGGTTAAGAATGACATTCTTTCTTTAAATGGTTTGATGTATAGGTCTCTTCAGAATATTATTTATTTTGTGTAGAAATTCATAATTTCGATCCGTGTGTGGATTTGTTTTAGTGCTGGCCATCATTGCAAATTTGGTGGAATCGGGATATTTATTCAATTTTACGAAAATGTGATTGTGATACCCTTGATTTTGATTTTTTAAATTTTCGGTACCCCAACCCACTGCCAACCTTCCTGGTATATAAGGAAAGAAAAACTACCAGACACGCACAGTCTATCAATGTCACTGGCAGCTGTATAACTTTAACACCCTCTTTGCATTGAGCCCATGTAGTCGCTCAGTGTCACTTTACCTTTAGAAAAAGATTAGGCTTTAGAAATGCTGAAGCTACGAGAAAACAAACGTTTGGTTGAAAAGGTGTAAGAAAAACTCCTACCCTTTTGTATTGTGGCTGACAGACCAGGCCAGTGAGAGATTTCTTAAAAAAATGGATCATTGTTTAAACTTGAAACAATAAGCTACTATGGGTGGGTGGTGTGATGTTTTGCTATGCTCAATCAGGATCAAAGGCTATGAAGTGTTCTGTTGTTCCAAAAGTTTCTTTTGTTTTTGCAAGCAGTAACACCCCCACCCCTTCCCCTTATTATTTTTAATCGATAATTGCGAGTCCACCTAGACCTCTTTTTTCACCATGCCTTTGTTTAAATTAGGTTTATACCTGACTACCCACCCCTGTACTTGACTATCCGTGGCCATATTGCGAATTTTAAATTCAGATTACTAATTTTTTAATTTCTTGATTACTAAAACATGCTGATGTACAGGCAGCCCTTCGAGTTGACCTCAGTCAGTCTTTCCTTGTCTCCCCTTACAGCCAGCGACACTGACTTTGCTGGCGGTGAACCTCCTCCCTTGCCAGATAAACAGTCACACGCAGAGGGAGACATCATGCGACCTGACAGGGAAGCCGGTCGGCGAGCGTCTTCTGTCAGCCAAGCTGGCAACAGGCAGAAGGTTAGCTTTTTCAGCAAGATCTTCAGCAAAGGCAAAGGGGATGAAGATTTTTGAAAAACTTTTTTGACTTTTGGATCTATATTTGTTCAATCCACAGGGTCCAAAGGATGTAACTGGTTCTTTTTATATGGTACATAAATTATGGCTGTTTTCATATTATCTTTCTCGATTCTTTTCTTCACATAGATTTCATAACATGCAGTAACATGCATAATATTACCTCTCATTCTTCATTTTATGAAAATGCAAACTCTTTGTTGTTCCAAAGCATGAGTGCTAGTTAATGCTAGGCATCATTATTTTATTTTCTACTCAATGGATTCCGTACTCATTTTTTGTAAGTATCTCCTCTTTGTAAATACCCTTCAATGAATTCATTTTCAGCGACAGGTCACTGAGGCCAAAACCATGGCATGCACAGTGATAAAACAAACAATACAACTTTATGAATTCTTGCAATTTCTTCAACACTGGCAGAAAATGAAGGGTTATACAATTTTTTGTATTGATATGTTTAAATTTGTTTAATTAATTACTTTGAATTGCATTTGTTTTGCTTTTGTCTAAACATGTATGATACTGTTACTATAGTAATGAATTTCTCTTTCTCATGTACTTTTATTTTATAGAAAATCATTTGTTTAGTTTCTTTAACAATATAAATGAAATAAGCAACTTCTCTTTTGTGTTCTTTTATTTGCACAACATCATAGGTTCATTTTTCATTTTGTTTATACAATAAAATGAACTCATTATGTTCTCACCATGTCTTTTTAGGACGTAAACTCTAAATGTAATTGCCAGCTATATGATGTCTGTATCACTTCCTTTGCAGCCCCCGCCCCCTCCCCCACCAACACTGGATGAGGATGACATACCTCCTGCCCTTCCTCCCAAACCTTCGCACTGATGTCGAGAGGCATCCTCACCATGCTCACCGGAATGTTCTCTCACCCTTTGAGATGATCCCATGCAAGACACGCTCACACCTCCATGCTTTGCTCTGTATAGCCATGCTGTCCAATAGAGAAAGACTGTGGCCCCTCCACTCAGGTCTCTAGAGTCTTAGAGAACTCACGGGGGATGGTTGCCACACAAGAATGGAAAGGCTGTTTGTTGACGTCGTCGCGCACACATTTGTTGCCTGGTGCGATGATGCATCACCACCACCACCACCCCTCTGATTCTGCCCATTAAAGCACCTGGCACTGTGGTGTAGACTCTCTCAGGATTGCATGCCTCTCATCCACGACTTGCATTACCAACAAAATGTGCAAATGGGAGATGAATTCATCCTATATATACTCAATGTATGCGTACGGATCTTTCATATGTGTATGTGCACCCACATATTTATAGACATGATAGCAAGATCAATGTTCCATGTGTATGTCAGTCTGTTTGCATGTTCAAATGTTTTACCATTTCCCTCCTTTTGCCATGTAAATGTTATTTTTAAGGGAAGTGGCTTTCATTTCACTCTTTTGCAAGTTGTAGATTTCACTAGTCAATTTTTTTCATTACTTTTACTTCACTGAATGCAGAGCTGCTGTTTTGCTTTTCTTTTCTTTTTGGCACTCAAAGGACTTTTAGAGGTGTTTTCTTGTTCTGAATTCCCAGACACGCAGTAGAAAGGTAGAAATGGTATGTTCTTGGCTAATTGGACATAACCCACTTGAACAGTGTTTTGACTTCATATTTCGCAAACTAGTAACAATTCTCACAATGTTTTGCACCAGTTCTCTCGATCTTCACTTCCATACAACAGTTACGTCCTGTTTTGAACGTACTTTTATGCTTTATCCCAAAAAAGATTTAGGGGTTCCCGCACGTGGAGCAAGACAAGTGTTCTGTTTCTCGGAGAGAGTGGCCCAGGTTGATGTGTGTGTGTGGGATCTGTCCACAGGTAGAGGGAGATCCCCAGGCATGTGTGCCCGAGTCGGCTCAACAGAGTTAAGGTCACTTTGTCCACATAGATTTGAAGAGACTTTTGGAGAAGACTGTAGCGAGGGGCGATGACATCGTTCTGGTCTTCTGTCAAGCTCTCCCACATTCAATGTTCCTACAGAGAAGTGTTTTATTTTTTTGTGGTTATGTTAATCTTTTGAATATGGCTGTGTTGAACATTTTGGTTCCTGCTCTGTATTCCTGGTACTGGATGCACCGGTGACCCAAGCAGCCAACAGGGAGTAAAGTGTTAGAATGATGCTAGTACGCACTTTGCATGTTTATAAAATGTCTTGAAAGAGTATTGGTCATATATATAGACTGGACTGTGCTGTTGTTTCTGAGTTAAGACCCTCGTAGCAGATAGAGAACTGATCAAGCTGTACAAGACCCACTGAGAGGTACTCAGGAAAAGATGGCTATGGATGAATCTCTGTATTTACTTCTATGCACTCAAGAAGTTTGTTTTACACTGTCATCATAAAGACTCTCAGAGGGTTAGGAGAGGGTAGGTCCCCTTTTCTTTCAGGTTTTCTTTAGCATGTCTGTTTTGTTCCCTTCTCCAAGCTTTAAGCCACAATCTTTTTATGTGTTCAGTCTTTTGTAGACCTCCCGTAGTGAAAAGAGCTTCCCGTCTGCTTCCTGTTCTTTGATGATGGACAGGAATTCATTATGGAAATGTCCATGTTTCTGATGGAATTCACCGTTTGATCAGTTAAGAAATAAGTATCTGGAAGTCTTGTCAGATAGTTGTTATTGGAAGAACTGTTTATTTGTTAAGTGAAATTCTTATCTGGATGTTCATTGTATTATTTTAATGTATGTTTAAACTTGAAGTGTTTCTGTTTGGTGTTTGTTGGTTGATGTGAAGCTATGTCTCTTCTGTATGATCATTCAAATGACTATGTCAGCAAAGGCAGCTGTTATCTTGCACACTTCAGAGCACAAAGGGGCCTTCAAGTCTTCAAGTTTCATAATATATGACAAACTCATACATTGTCATTTCACCAAGTGCTGCTTCCAAATCATTGTCTTCACCTTCATTTCAGTCCAAAGGCTCAGAGCACTGGAATATGCTGTTATGAATCCATGAGAATTTTTTATTCCTATTTTGTAAGAATATTATCAACCGCTAAAAGATACCAAAGCGGGACTGTTAAATGTTCCACCCACGAAGGGTAACAATCTGCTGCTTGTGGCGCCATTTTTTTCTGATTGTGGTGTTTAGTCTGGAGTCTAGTAATGTTACAACTTTTGAACAAGAAGGAGGAGTCTGATGCATAATGAGCATGCCATCTTTGTGATGTTTGCTTGTTGACATTCTTTGACTTGTTTCTATTCCTTCATCTCTCACCATATACCAATGCTGTCATTATTACTCGTTTTCAAACGCATGTTGTGCATGATTGCTGGTGCTAATTTATACATCTTGTTACAATTCCAAAAGTCATATATGCATTTTGTGTGGTTTCTTGTTGCTAGGTGTTTGGAACTTTCTTCTTTTAAGTGCCACAGATAAAGACAATAGTATGAACCAATGCAACCATGAAAGATGAGCCGAGTTTATGGTGAAGATTTTCAGTGTGTTACTCTTATGTGTTTGCGCCTTTATGGCTTTTTATATTGTTCTCTGTTTATATTTCACATTGAGGTATGATGAACGTTTAGGATCATTGTATTATGTCGTGATGATTGGATACTGTTTTCTCTTATGTGTTTTTTGTCTTTATTGTTTTAGTTAAGTCTCTTGTTGAGGAAGGTTGGACATTTACCATGTAGACTGAGAATAGAGCGCAAAGCTGAGCTTTTGCAATTTCTCAATATGAAATTAGTCACACATGGGTGTGAAAAATGAGTATTAGAGTTCAAATGTTTGTGTGGGAGGATCTTTGGAATGTATAGTGTGTGTTTGTGAGAAGTGAGTAGTCTGGAATGGAAAAATATTCAATGAGGAAAAGTAAAGAGTAAGACTAGGTGAATGGCTGTCATTTCTCTCAACGATATAGTCTCATTCCTCTCTTTGTGCAAGGTATAAATGTATAATTACTTTTTTTGTTCTGTGTACTCCATGCTAATTTTATTTTTTTTGTCAATGTAATTAGTAAGGCATTTTTCACTTCCATCATGTCTCTTTCATTTAATCTCAGAATCATTTCCTGATATTTAAGCCAAAAGCTTTGAACCAAAATATATTAAAAACTTTGATACACACAAAATGTTATAATTTCCTTTATTCTGTACCTTTATTTGGGTCTGAGGCTGGTATTTTAATCAAAATTCACTTCTTCTGGCTTTGCCTCACACATAAAGTCTTAAAACTTTTTCCTGATGTGTGAGGGAAAGATTTGATACCAAAAAGACGTCATCCACTCATTCATTTGCTTTTTTTATTTAGCTCTGAGTCTGAGGGGTTAAACAAAGCATTTGTAAACCTGTCATTGTCTCATAACTTGTCAAAAACACTACTTAGCACAAAGGATGGACTGGCATCTGTGATGTAGCTGTTAGGCTCTTTGCTGTCACATTCAAGAGATCCAAATTCGATTCCCAAGTGGTGAGAATTTTTATCGAGTATCTCGATCTTTCTACTGCGATGTTGTATCCTCAGCCCAGGTTGACAGGCAAAGTCGGAACCTGCCTCCTGAGTGATTGAAATTGTGTCAATTGGGGCTTATATTTAAAAAAGAAAAAAACCAGGGCTGGTATCCTCTGATGACAGAAATATTGAATTAATGAACGATGTCCTCTTGGCTCTGAGTTCTGTATCGGAAACGTTTGTCTTATTGGTACTATTTTGAATTTATATGTTTCAGTATAAATAAATATGTAATATGGGAACCGAGCAATGTGTCCTGAGTTTGTTTTCATTGGGGAGAGAGAGGGAGGTAAGTACATGTATGTGGATGGGGGAAGGAAAGAGGGTGATGGGGAGAGGGAGGGAGAGGGTGTGTGTGGAGAGAGAAAGGGGGTGGGCGGGGAGAGATTAAAGGGGGAGGGGGGAATATGACCAAACTGTACTTGTGTGCTTCCCTTCAAATCACTACTTCACTCAGAAAAGTAACATTTATTCTGAAGCAAGATACAAAACAGTTTATTAAGTTTAGTTCATCATCCTCATCCAATGATTAATTTTAAAACACTTGTTTGAAAGACCTGTCCAAAAGGGTTACATCCACCCCAACCTATATATATATATCTGTCGATTGAGGCTCTGATCTTGCGAATGATAAACACCAAAAGTCTACTGTATGCCACCTGCCATTGACTTAACCTGTCTGTAAGTAACTTGTGCACTGTTAGTAAAAACATTGGTTTTTGTAACAAATACTGTCAAACCTGCTCTTGAGACCACTTTTATACACCAATCACATGTACAAACAGTGGCTTCCCTTTTCCCCACGTCAGCTTTTTTAATATAATATACAGGGTGAACCAATAAAAACGTGGCAACTTTTTGTCTGAATTTGTGCTAAATTTGTACTAGAATTTTGTAATTTGGAACAGATATTCATTCAAAAGGAATTTGTTGGACTTAAAATTCATAAAGCAGGAACTTAATTTCGAAAATGGAAATGGCTTTTATAAAAACTACCTATACTATAAACGCAAAATGAATCAGCATAAAGATGGTAATTCATGCCATATTGTCTTAAAATATCAGCAATAGGTTGTGTATACATTGTAAACAAGACAGGTCCAAGAACAGACCCCTGAGGAACACCACATCTAAGCAAAACATTATTAGAACACATGTTTCCAACCACAACTGCTTGTATTCGATCCTTAAAATATGACCCAAACCATCGCAGGACAGTACCCTTTATGCCAAAAGTAGTATTTAATCTCTCGAGTAAAATATCATGATCAATGGTATCGAATGCAGCCGAAAGGTCCAAAAGAATAAGAAGACATACCTTTTTTTCATCAATATATTTTAAAATATCAGTACAGACCCTAAGTAACGCTGTCTCGGTACTATGGTGTGCCTTATATGCTGACTGATAGACTTCGCTAAGATTATTTGCTTTAATATGATGTAACAGTCTATCAGATACAACTTTTTCCAGAATTTTGGAAAGGAAAGAAAGATTTGAAACTGGTCTAAAAAATTTTAAGTCCTTTTCATCAAGTCCAAATTTTTTCAAAAGGGGTCTAATATGTGCTGTCTTAAAGCAATTTGGTACTGTGCCTGTGAGGAGAGAATCATTTACAATTTGGGTGATATGTGGAAGAAGTTCATGCAAACATTTTTTTAAAAGGCTGGTGGGCATGGGGTCTAAGGCGCAACTTTTTGATGGACTATCTAATATGATCTTTTTGATTTCTTCTTCCGTTGCTGGAGTAAAATAATCGATGACGCCCTTTAAACTGATGGTAATTTGGGGCAATTGCGCACATTTTATCGAGCTCTTGTCTGATGGAGGTGATTTTTTTAGAAAAAAAAGTCTGAAAAACTACTACAAAGATCTCTATCGGTGCCAGGGGGTAATATAGTTCTGTTTTGGTTGCCAAGCAGTTCACTAGAGACATCAAAAAGTTCCTTACAAGTTTTAACATTTTCAAATTTTGACAAAAAGAAAGTACGCTTGGCTTTGGTAATCATTTTACTAACAGAATTCTTCATAGTAATAAATATTCCCTTATGCACTTCAAGTCGTGTTTTTCTCCATTTTCTTTCCGCTTGTCTTTTTTCTTTTTTTGCAGCCTTTATTTCTAAATTAAACCACCTACCAACAGGTCGATGAGATAATTTTCATTTTTTTAACTGGAGCATGATCATCTAAAATATTCCTCATGATGGTATTGAGTGTTTCTATATTAAAAGGGGAACTAATAGCAAGAGCATCACGAATGTCACATTGAAACTATATATATATATATATTTATATTTATTTTTATATATATATATGTCTTCCTTTGGACTTCATACATTTTAACGCGTCCTTCATGATATTCAGTGGTGGCCAAACACAAGGACCCACCCAGCCATGAGTGAAAGCTACATACACTGTGCACTTTACAGGTTGGAGTTATTTCTAGAGACAATAAGGGGAGGAGTAGGTTTCCCAAAAGACAGCATTTGTCGAGTTAACATAACCTGAAAGGTGAATATGGGATTTGCCACTGAACCAACTGTCATCGAAATGTTCATGCTTTTCAAGATGATTGAGGAATCACGAACACATTGCTATCCTCTAATCCATGTCAGCTTCGCGAACTGGAAAATGGTAGTCATAGATGAAGATCATAGAGGTGTAGGAAAGTCCGAGCTGCAGACATCATCTATGGACAGACGTCTCATGGGGCTCATCTACTGAATTCTGCACCCTGTGACATTTTAAAGGGTGCAAATGGCTTGTTTGACCTGGAATGGTCGTTTTGTTTAGGAATTTTTGGTTTTGATTCTCTACAAGCCCTAACTGGTAGACCATCCACCTTTTTTTTTGTTGAAAGTGTTATACAGGTGATTAAAGGTCATATGCGTGCGCGGGACACACCTAACATTTTCAGTTGGTAGGAAATTTTGAATTTTGCACGGGTGGCGGCCGAAGCCTACTCCTATCAATTTTGGACTTCCAAGGGATCTTTAACATCTGCAACTTGCACACGGGACCTCCGAGATTTTTCGCCCTTGTCCGAGAAGGCTAGGTGTAGATCTTTCCTACCAGAAGATCAAGGGTGTGGCTAAAATACAGCAGTAAGGAGTCAAGGAGAAGCAGTGGAAAGGCTGCAGAAAGAGTCAGGAGCCCAGAAGAAGGGACAAAGAAGGTGAGGGGTGGGGGCTCAAACTAGAGATGAAAGCAGACGGCAGAATATGGCTAGAGAGCAGGAAAAGAGGTGAAAGGAAACAATTTTAGAGAAGAAAATCTGTCCGTTGCTACACAGATCGAACCCGGGACCTTTGAATGAGAGGCGAACACCTTAACCTCTAGGCCACCAGAGACCCCCATTTCCACCCTTGACATCAGAGAAGGGCACTTTAACATTATTTCCATACAAAATGAGTTGGTATCGAGGTAATATTGAGTACAAAAAGCTCTCTGCTCTTTACTAACCTAATCTTAATCATAATCTCAGCAGGCAAAGGAAACTTGAGAAAGACTATCTGCAAACTTCTTTATGCATGTTAGATACTGTAGCTTGCAATATGGCCCAATTGTTGGGACGTTTAGTGGTAGGCCTAATGCGAACAAGTGCGTCATGCTACAAAAATGGGGATATACAGCTGAAAATTGGTTGTTTTTTTACATGCTATCGGTATGTAGAGCAAAACTATTCCATGGATTTATCTAAAATGAATATCAGCCAAATTCCTTTTGACTTCCAAAAGTTGTGTACAAATTTGAAATGTAAAACTTCAGTGTGGCGGAAAATATTTTTTAAAGATATGTTGTAAAGTTGTTTTTTTTTATCACCCTGAACGACTCTGTATAAGATGTCCTCCTGTCTAAGATGACCACTTTTCTCCGCAACAATGGGCTGCTGTCTTGGACAATTTCAACAATACATGTACAAGTAGTGTGTGTTGAATGAGTCTAGTATGGGCCTCAGAACCTGAAATTCACTTTCACACCATTCTTAATTTGTGACAACACTGTTACTATTTGAGGAGAACTAGGGTTCATCAAAGAGCAATTATGTCCGATCCTCTCCTTCTGTTTCTTCCTATTGTACCATCCTCATCTGAGCTCTGAAATGTTGCTGGAACGTCAATTATTTAAAAATCTGCAACCTACCGGTCTGAAATTCTGACCCCAACAAATGTCTGCAGCCAGTTAGAATAACCAAATCTTTGATCCAAGGCTGAAAAGCTGTTCCTTATCAAGAAATCATTCACGGTTGTCACATATAGAATAAAACACTTCATTAGAACTGCTTACAAATATGGCAAGAAAAGAAACGCAAGAAAAGTTTCAAAACCTGATTGAAAAACCTGTTTTATTTCTTTGCATACACGTAACACATCATGAAATAAGCAGTTGTTCTCCCGTTGTGATTTTTCTTTATTTAAAAAAAAGGAAAGCAGAAATTTTACAGGCTTTTCGAAAGGGGTAGGGAATTGTGGCTTTTTGCAGACAAGTTATACATGAGACAGATAAAATGAGTTAAAGTTAAAACAAAGGCCAAATAGAAGCATTCACAACAAACTATAGAAACTTCATAGTCACAGTAAGAGACCATAAACATTTTCAGGATTTCACCATGTGTTACAAAGTTTGTGGCAGTGCTAGTAATTTCTCAAAACATAGCAAAAAACTTACATAAAGCTTTGCTAAAACGGTAGGGCAATATGGTGACTAACTCTGAAATGGCAGCATAAGTTTTACTCTTCCATATTCATCAAGACATTTACAGCTTACAGTCAACCAAAAGTGGGTATGATTTCTTCTTACACATCCTCAGTGTTCAAATCTTTGTCACACCCTTTTGCACTACAAATTAACATTTACCTAACCTTGCATCACAGTAAATCGAGAGAATGCAGTTCTTATATTAATATTATAATATGTACCTTTCATAAATTCAAATTGAAATAATATACGAAGCAAACTGACTGCACAGCCATTTACGAAGCATGTGGTGCTTCTCTCTAAAAATGTATTAGCATTACAAATTCGTAGCAAGTACAACTCGGAAATAACAATCAAAAGTTAATCAAGTCAAATTTCTACTACACCAACATGACTCTCACGCCCAGTCCAATCTAATAAGACTTCCCATTTGAGTGCATTGTTGGACTGCTTATCTTCCATCTATTATTTCTAACTTTTATATTTCACCCCACTTTTTTAATCAATGAATATGGATAATTTCGGAGAACTGGAGAAGGATGCAAGGTCTATAGAATAGAATGCATAAGGCCTAAATGAAATTTAAGAAACATAAGTGTTCTCTTTCTAGAAACTTTCCACTCAAAGATTCTTTCTCAAACTGCAAAAAGCATCACTGGAAAAATTTATTAAACGTTTGGAAAGGATGCATTAATTGTGGTTTACCCCCACAAAAAAACTTTTGAAAAGAAGTGGTTCTGTGCACATACATCATAAGTGCTAATAGTAGACACCTGGCCAACACTAGAGTATTTCAAAAGACATCAAAAAAAAAAAGAAAAACAAATAAACAGGGAAAAAGGCTGCTCAGTCACATGTGGATGAGGACAGACACCTGGGAGTCGCTGCACAAACAGAAATAAGGCCCCATTGAGCCACATATTGCACTTCAAAACTAAACATGAATACATAGCTGTATTTCAAGAAGAATAATTACACATTACAGTATTTAAAGTCCTGTGAAAAAAAACTCCATTACAATTGCACAACACACAAATCATTCTTACAAGCAATACTGTATACTTAGATACAGGACTTCTTTCTCTTTTTTCTCTTGTGTTGGAAATACTATAGGTACTAGTAGTAGTAGGGCCTACTAGTAAAGGAAATAAAAACAACGCAGTTTGTTCTAATTGTTACCATCTTATCAATGGTTTGTCTCCCACTATCCTTTTCATCTGAATGACTGTGGTGTCCGTGAACAGAACCCAAAAAAATCTTTTAAAAATTGAGGGATTATTTATCAAATTTATCAATTTGATGCAACACTTGTCCTGTTACGACACCTCCATGATTGGTCATGGGAACTTAAGTATAGAACTTCAGATTGAAAATCTTGAAAATGTTTCAATTTCTCATTTTTTTAAACATGAAGTGTGGCATGTCATGTCTCGTGTAGTGTTAGCGAAACTGAAAACTCTGCAGCACATTTATACACAAATATCTTGCAACAGAAAAAAAGTCACTCAATAAAAAGTACCCCATTTAACATAATACATCAAAACATTGTGCACTAGCAGAAAGCCAACAGCAAAGTCATTTCGGATGGCAAACCTTACATCCACACACATTTGAACAGCTCTAAAAGTGCTCTTATTTACATCCAACGAAACATTTATAATCAAAAGTTCAGATCAAATACCAGAGTAGCAAGAATGGACTTGTTCATCCTGGTTTTATTGCTTTTTTTACATCCTCCCCAAAAATAGTTATAAGAGAAAAAAATCATTGATAATCCTCAAAAAGTATTTCCCATCACTGCTCTTCTGAGCTTATTTGTGGGATGGTGTACAAACATAAATTTGCTCTAAGGATCTCTTTTAATTCCTATGTGGTTATATGGTTTGTCACACTCAGCAACATTTTAGCAAAAAATACCATAGACACTTTGACTAACATTCAGCAGTCAGGAGAACTGTATGCATTCATAAGGAAAAACAGAGTGATGGACCCAAACATTCAAGGACTTCATTCACCCCACGTTCTTTCCTTTCAAACACCTCGGTGCTCCCTATAAAAGCTCAGCTATTGTACAGCAGACTAGACAAATCTTTGGGTAAATTCCCATCAAGAATAAAAACGATACCAGAACTAGATGCTTGGGTAATATATGTACTATATATAAAAAGACAAACAAAAACAATAAGGGAACAGCATTAAGCTCATGTACAGCTATTTTTATAAACCCAAGTACAAGACAGTTATGCAGTGCTTGCGAGGTCTTTATACGGAGACCCACATACTCTCACATTCACCAGAATCAGGTAAAATAGTCACAATTCACCTTGCATACTGTCACTTGTACTGGGGTGAGCCAGTGGCATCATTAAGGATTATTATTTCATGTCACAGCACAAAAGGGCTCATAACTCTTGTATGCACAATGTACACATCTTGATGGCAGTTGACCTTATAAGACCACTGCAACTGCCTCTCCTGACAAATCACAAACCTAGCTATATATATAATATACCAGTGATATTACCACAGATAGTACATCCGGCCAATCTATCCATTCATCTTTGTCCGAACTTCTGTGAGTCCACAGAAACTTTTTCAAAATGATTTTGTTTGTCTCTAGTCCAAGATCACACCCAATACAACAATGATATTCGTACATGTGAGAAGACAAAATGGCAAAATAGAATTCAATCACTTCCACCAATATTCAGCAGACCTGCACACAATACAGGGGGCAATATTCCTACAGCCAACTAACTGACAGAAATATTCATTAGCTTGGCACTTGCAGTGGTCAATAGTCTACCATTTGTGAGATAATTTTACAAAATAGTATTTACAACTTTAAAAATTCCAGTTCCACATACAATTAATTACTATTACAGTCAACAAAAGTTCACATCTCAAAGATTATTCAGCCTCCTCTTTCATTTACCTTTGGTAACCCTCTCACAGTTTTTCACAAACAAACATATCTATGTATATATCAGATAAAAATTTATATAAACAACCTATATTCAATGAGTCAGAAATCAGCCTTTCTCAAACATGAACTAAAAATTTAAAAAAGAGCACAAGACAATCCACAATCCAAAAATACATTCTTAAAATTTATTGAAAAACTCACTAATGTTCTCTCCATTAAAAAGGATAAATTGGAGAAGCTTCTTAATAAAAATGCAAATTAGAGAAAACTTAAATATGACACAACCTGTGAAAAGATCAAACAAGCAAGATTTCACTTGGCTACACAACCGATCCTCTATTCCATGGTTTTTACACCTAAATAATAAAGACCTTCCTGAAGACAATATATCGTAACAAAATGTATTAAAAGTACAACAAAAACTAATGAAACACATTTGGGTGTGACAACAATGGACTAAAATATTCAAGCAGACGTACATTGTAAATGGAACAGAAACTCACAAAAACAGAAACCACAGCATACAGACGGCGATTCAAATTCAAGTGATACAACAAATGCCAAACAGCCCCGACATAAAGCAAGCCCCCCCCCCTCCAGTCAAACAACTGGACAAAAGGCAGAAATTCAATTAATAAATCAGCAAATAGCAGCACCATTCTTAGCATTTCATACACAATAAAACATCTGAATATTTCATACATCAAGAAGCAAGTAGTAATGCTCCAATATAGGCCTAGACACTGTGAACATCAAGAAAGTGGACGTGACTCTATTCTAACTTATGTTATGGCTCACACACAGAAGGAAGGAGGATTTCTGGGGGTTTTGCCCTCGAACCTCCAAAAGACAACAAAAATGTCTATGGAGTCCCTAATTCCAACTCAAAAGTCACAGCAATCTTTTATTATCCAGCTTTTGCTGTTTTTTGTCATGCGTGATTCAAAAATAAAACAGTGTCCTCTTCAGATCAATAACATTTACAGAAAAACGCTCTGCAGATGGACAAAACAGTGTCACGCTAAGGTGTTATATAATCTATGCAGAGGAAGTTGGAGAAAAGTTCGAAATATCAAATTGTGCTGAAAATACGGAATGGAGCTCTGAACTCAAGACTTGTAAAGAGCTCTCGTTTACAGTTGTGAACTTTACAGAAGTACTTGTAAAAGGTGAAAAATGACTTAAAAATAAAACTTATCCCAAATGGAATGAGAGATACTTCACTGTCAACTAGTTGTATGCAAAAGGGCTACAAAGTTGAAAAATGAAACAATTCACTCTTCAAAAGGCTTTTAAGTTAACATTGATTGGTATTATTCTCAGTAAATATTTGCGGCAGCAAGCATATAAAAATAATATACTATCAACACTAACAGACTCTTCAAAGGTGACCAGTTACATACATAATACACATACCTGCTTGAGATAAGTCTAAAATTATAGGCATTACTTACACAACCTTCAATATTACTCAACAGTACTTCCCCCCCCCCACTTTAAAAAAGACGCCGCTCAAATAAATTTTCCGCAATACGAACCAATCACACAGTATACAAATACAAGCAGTACATACATACTCACAGTATGTGATATTTGCCAGAGTAAAGCAAAACAAAAATGTTCAGCTGTAAAAATGACAGGACTTTCAGAAAACAATAGTAAATCTACAAATTCCCTCCTACCCCATCCACTTTCTGCGTTACAATATATCCTTTATACTGGTTGGTCTTCAACTACAACTATGGAAGAGCTCACATCCCAGAAACAAGGTGACAGACTGTTTTCTGCAAACACCACTCGCCCTAGAACAAGTAAACAGAGACTCCGTGAAGGGACCAGAACACTAACAACAGAACTGGGAATATTGCTATGTTGGCACTAGTATAGATGGAGCTTCCGCTTGATGTCATTCCTTTTCCACTCTGCCATTCTGTAGAAGCTTTCTTTTGGCATGTTGAACAGCTTTTCAAAGTCGTCATGGGCCAAATGTATCTGAAAATAAGAACAAACAAGACTTTTGGTCAACAAGACTTAATATAGTACTCATCAATGCTTTAGGTAAAATAAGACAAGATTTCATTTACTATCTTGAGGTGAAAATTGGTTTGAAAGAACAAAAACACATTTTACCTCCAAACTAGTAGAACAAAATCACAAGCTACTAATCAGTAGAAATGCATTCAGCATTGCAACTCATTCTACATTCTTGATCGCTAAAATACGTACACATTCAAACAAACCAATAAATACAAGACTTACAAATTCTTTTTTTTATCAAGAGCTGCATCCTGTTTAAGAAATCAAACCAGTTATACCAGTTTTCTTAGATACCAAAATATTACAAACTTTTCTTGCAAAGAAGAGCATGGTTTCTGTCTCAAGAACTTTTCACTCCTACCTCTAACTTGTTTGTGTCGACATCCTTTGGCAGATCAAAGTTGGTGATTTTTAGTTGTTCATATGGATAAATCTGGAAAGAACAAAATCATCATGGTATTAATGATAAAGCTATTTGAACAAAAATATGATTTCTATCATTTGCTCCGATTTTTGCTATTGCACCAGCTACTGAGGGTTATTCAGCTTTAAGTCCAAATCCAAGAATTGATTCATTCCTTTACATTGCATCCATGTTACAGATGTCACATTGATGCAGTCTCTACAGTTACTGCTGTTGTTGCTGTTATTATCATTCTATGTTTTCCATGTGAAGCTTTCACTTGACTTTTAATGCAATAAAACACCACGGGAATAATATGTCTTTAGGCCCACCTGGTTTCTACAAAATGAAAATGGTGTGGAAGTAAAGAATAAAAAAAAGCTAGAAAAACACATGGTAGACAAAATATGGGAGAGTGAGAAAAAGAGAGGGGCAGGGACGGAGTGGAGTTCCCCCCCCCCCCCCCCCCCCCACTCCTTGTGACGTCTTATGACGTCAGTGAAGACCATCTCATCTTATCAGACATATTGCAACAGTCAGCCCCTATCTCTCAAATATCCCCACCCAGGACACTTACGGTGGGCTCAGCTTCAGTGTGCCATGTGTTCTTCTGCAGTTTGAGAAGCGATATTGACGGTCCCTCATAGTACGAGGAGTCGTGCCGCTGGAATAGAAACACAAACTCACATCAAGTACAAATCTCAACAAAGAACTGAGGAATAGACATAATTGAAAAAAAAACCCAACAACCTATGATACAATTATGGTAATAGAGGGCGTGGGGAAAAGTATCAAGATGCAATACAGAAATGTCACAGGAATAAAAAAGAAATATGAACTATCAAACAGCACCTTAGAGATGCTTGTTCTTAAAAGTCAATTAACTTACAAAAGCAGCAATTAATGTTTGTAATTAGCTTCTACCACAGTAGTGTTTGCTCTACTCTAAAAAAAAAAAAACCTTGTTTTTTCCTTAAATTACAATTTGTCTTAATTTGGGTTGTAATGTGATTATCACCAAAAGTGCAGGGTAAAATGCCAAGTTAAAGAAATACTTTTCAAGTAGAAAAAGAGGAAGCTTACCCGGGAGCTGGTGTCTCCCGTCAAAGTGGAGGACGAAGTGTCTGTGGGGAAAGAACAAACACTTCAATAGAACATGGAGAACAGCGTGTCTCCCATACCTAATGAACATCTCACAAACCAAGCTAAAACAATCGATAAGAAAATGTGAGAACAAACATTTTATTTTACTTTTATTCTCCTAGTCCAGCAGTCACTAGAATTTCAGGCTTTCAATGCAATATGATATTGACAAAATCATTACTTATACAATAAATATCTAACAGCAGTTACAAGAAATAAAATAAAATAAGGGGTACATCACTTCAAACACTGAACAGACGTTAATACAATCAGGATATTATAAGTAGTTTTAAAGCTACCAGATGTAATGAACCTAAAAAGAATCTGTAAAATATTGCAAACAACCAAAGTGGAAACACCCGTAGTAAAAATTTAGCCAACTATAAGCAATCATAAATCATAGAGGAAAAGTGTTCGCAACCAGCTAACCTGGTTTTAAGCATAATTTACTGCATGAGAATCAGAAGTCTCGCCTGAACGGACTCCCTGATTCAGGATAATGTTACTCACGAGTGGATGGCTCTGGTCTGTCATCATCCTCCCCAAAGTCAAAATATCTCTGTGGAAACACATGTAAGTACACTAAGCATGCACACAACAAAATTGATGGGATGTGGAAATCTTTTCATCAAGTACAAATTTGACTAAGTACTTGTTTTTGATTCTTTTGAATAAAAAAAAATATGCATGTGTGTATAAGAAAAAATTAAGGACCTGAAGATCCGTTCATATGTGTGTGTTTGCATTCATACTAGACTATTTGTAGAGACAGGAAACTGCAGAGAGAGATTGGACACGCTCCACAAACTACATACAGTTCCCAACTGAGAATATCCTGAAAATATTTGAGCTCTCTTTCCTAAAAAGAGGTTTCATTCAACAATGTCAACACAGAAGTCAGTACCACATAGCAACAAACCTTGAAGAGATGCCAATGGCTTCATCATCTTAAAGACACATGTAGTAATGGAATCCAAATACATAACATTTTACTTCTGGGGCAGCTAACACAACAGCTACAAGTACTGGAAAGTAGACACTAGTAATTTTAAATGTATAACTCAAAACAGAACTATAATTTTGTTACCTTACAGAACTTATCTTATCAACATCATTTCACTTCAAATTACTATTAAAGTCAACCTGAAGGGGGAAACAATATTTTCCAATGTTTTAAGCTGAACCCTAATATCGTTGTCAAGTCATGTATTCATCATTACAAAAGATAAACTGAGACAACCAGGCTGTTAGACACCAAAACTGGCAGGTCCAACTTCTCAACTACCCCAATATCATTTCTGTCAATCTGTCTTGTTTTTCTAAAACACTCACCGACCAACATCATGTAGTAACACAAGCACTGAGAACAAATTCAAATTAATCAACTGTAAACCTTCATTTTCTTCACACACCTCCTCCTCCTCATCCTCATTTCCTCTTTCTCCTTTTCTCCGCGAAATCTAAAAAAAAATATTCTCAATGATAGATACATCAGCCTCTGCCCCTCCCTGAGTCTTTTCAACAATCTTTGACAAGTCGATTTTTCTTTCTGACTAGACCGGTCAATTCTATGTCATGATATTTCTCAGCTATCCGGTACTTACAAAGTCTACCCTGGCTCCATAGGCTCCGGCAAGAGGCAATGTGGCAGCACGCGGGGTCATGTAGGATGGGCCATAGCCTGGCTTGGGTGCTGGGGGTACAGAATGAAGAGGGTTCACAACCTCATCACATACAAGAGCTATTTCCAAGTGTAAGTGCTACATTTCATACATTCTAACACCGACTCCGGAATGATTGTCAAATAGAATTCACACACTCGTACATGCGTCACATGTCACAATTTGAAGCAGTATTAACGAATACTTGTTTCTTTATTGTCAAATCCTAAAAAGCTAGAAATGGCTTGTGCATTTAATGTGAGAAAAAAAAAAAGAAGGTTTTTGACACAGGCCCTTTTATTTCATTTTTGAACAACATGACATGCCACGAGAGACATCCATTCACAGAAAGCAATTTTGGGCAGGCCACCACAATTTCAGAGGTTAAACCTCCTCCAAACTATAATCTTAACAATCTTCAAGTAAATGATATAAAAAGAGAAATGCTTTTGTCCCTCATGGGATTTCTTGACAAAATGGGATGTAACATATGTTCTTTACAGGTCAAAATACAGTCGAAGCTGTACTATAATGGCCACCTGTATAGGACTATCATCTGCACAGTTGGTACTTTTTCACATTATAATGACATTGTGCTAGGTGGCCATCTGTCTAAGAAGGCCTCTTTTCTCCTCAATGATGAGAGGTAGCCTTTAACAATTTCGACTGTATTCTAATAGAGGGAAATTCAAACTAAATGTATCAAAATGAAAAAAGGGGAAAAGTCAACACGGTCTAAATAAAAGCAGAGTTTTAAATCTGTGTAACAACAACGCAAATACAACAGATTTCAAAAGCAACTGTAAGGAAGAAACTTTGAAATCAAATTTACCCATATGGTAGACTAAGAAAATTTGGCAAGCTGAATCAGAGAGTATTTGTCACAAAAATGAATGACTCTTTCCTGCACACAAAACAAAATCAGAAAAGAGTTACTCGGAAGTCAAATCTGAAAACTAGCTGTCATAGTTTATTATTTTTCAAGGCAAAACTGTAAGGGTAAGGAAGGGATCTGGGGGGAGGGGGGGAGGGGGTGTTTGAGAAAGTGAAAACAATGCATTTGCAAGTCATTCTGTGCAATTATCAAAAGAGAATCATATTATTCAACACATTATATATGCTAGGTCCAGAGCTATCTCCTTTCTCCCCCATGACATTGTTTGCCTTAGACAGAGCTTTTATTTGTGAGTATTTCATATCATGCTCTGTTGGTCTTTCCTCAAAATATCTTCTGTTAAAGTGAGTTGTTCAAATCACTGCTGGAAACCCAAACATACAATGAAATGTATTTGCCTCTTCCTTATTGTCAGAACAAACACTTTTCCGCACACGCACGCATACACACACACACACACACACACACACACCCACACACACACACACAACCCAAGCATACAATGAATTAATGTATTTGCCTCTTCCTTACTGTTGTAACAAACACTTTTCCGCACAGGCACGCACACGCACACACACACACACGCACACACACACACACACACACACACACACACACACACAAAAACACACTAACTCAACAAACTACAGTTGAACTCACTGGGGAGGTTGGCCAGTGTGGAGACAGATCTGTAGGTCCTGATGTCGCTGTCGTCCCAGGCGTAGCGCGGCCTGTCCAGGAAGCGGGAGGGAGCTGGTGGACACAGACACATAGTAGTCGTTGTTGTTAGCGATCCAGACACATAGTAGTCAAATATCTTGTTTGTCTAGTTTTAGTAGAGGCTTTACGGCGCTCGCAACTGCATTAGGTCATATGAGCGCCAACAGACACATAGTAGTCAAATATCTTGTTTGTCTAGTTTTAGTAGAGGCTTTACAGCGCTCGCAACTGCATAAGGTCATATGAGCCCAAGAAGATTAGAGGTGTTACAAGAGAGTAACAAATATAAAAAAGGAGGGGAGATAAGGAGGATAGATGTTCGATAGGAAAGAAGAAGCAAACCACACCAGAGCACCCGCCAACCATCGACGTCAAATATCTCTACAGAGTCTGGACTATAGGGGAATGGTGAGCCCAAAAAAGGGTGTGAAGTATTACAGGAGATGTCACAGTTTAACATGACTTTTGAAAGGACTTACGCAAAATTTAAAACAACAGTAGGAAAAAAAAGTTAGGAAAACCCTTTGAACACGACACATTTCAAAATCGCTCTTCATTGACTTTTTAAAATTTCCTCCTTTGCAATTGCACCTCTACCTCCTCCAAAAAACAGTACACAAAACCTTGAAGCCTCCAGAGACCATATTTTTTTCTGGTTACTAAATACCCATCCTTTTCAATGTTATTTCTTTTAACTCTATATTTCCATGGTTGCCAACCTTTCGAAACCAAAAAACAGACCCTCCTACCCATCCAGCAGGTCAAAATGATGGGTAATGGCCAAGACCCCCCTCCCCCCTGCCCCACTCCACAACCTCAAAACCCTTCACACCCACTTTTCCACATTCAATAAATTCAATCATTCAAAGGAGACATGCAGATATGGGCTTTGCTCCATTATAATTAACAAATCCGATCTTGAAAGTTCATAATAATAAAAATTTTCTTCAGAACGAGCAAGTCGGAGAAGAAAATAATATTAGAAAACAGAGAACACATATTTCCCGATACAAAAAATGGACTTCTGTACATATCATCTTTTCAAACGACCTTTTCCCACTTTCACCCCTGTGCTATTTCAATTGTATATCAACCCTGTCCAAGATGTCCCCCCTGTCTAATACAACCAGTTTTCTCCTCAACAATGGGTAGCCGTCTTTGACAATTTAGACTATAAATATAATACCATGACGTTATGAACTTCTTGGGCACCTGGCAAGGGTGAGAGTCTCTCTCTCTCTCTCTCTCTCTCTCTGTGTCTCTCTCTCTCTCTTTTTATATATGTAAACAGTCTCTGGTTTTAAAATCCCTTCATTTTCTTTAAGTCTCCTACTTCTTCCTGGTACTTTCCTTCGTATGCACCACCAAGCACCAGATAACCTCGTGAATGCTCTTGTTGCTGTGGCTTTTCATTGAATTATGTTCCTGATGGAGCCATAGACAGCAAAATGTAAAGTAATTTTACCACTAGGAATTCAAACCAAACTGATTTTTAAAACTTCCTTTACTATGGTTTCCAACTATGATGATAATGATGACAAAGACAATGCTGATGACAATGGGAAGGTGATTATTACTGAGCTCTTTAAATTTTGGCAAGTTTTCCAAATATAATGAAGAAGACGATGACAATGATAATGACAATAATGACAAAGGTGATGATAATGACAATGATGATTGAGATAGCACAGACAAATGGTACCACACAACAGACAAAAGCATTGCCCAAAGCTCACAAGCAAACATGGGAGACTGGAAGCGCGTCCTGTAGCGAGGTTCAAACTTGGCACTGGGAGCTCGCGAGGCCTTCCAGGGGTCAAGGGGCTGCCGGGGTTTGGCCTTCTGTTCCTCCAGCTCTTTGTAGATGACCCTGCCGATGCCACTCTCGTCTTTGATCTTAGAGATCTCCTCCAGCTCTCGTTTGATCTTCGGGTTCTCAACAACCTCATCCTCATCATTATCATCATCTTTTTCTCCTTTGCTCCTCCGCCTTTGCCTCACTGGTACGGGAGAAAATAAATAAATACGGTGGTTAACAAGCATTAAGAAGAGAGTTATTTCTGTCTCCTTTGACAAGATTTTATTTCTCCCTCCCTCCCTCCCTCTCTCTCTCTCTCTCTCTCTCTCTCTCTCTCTCTCTCTCTCTCTCTCTCTCTCTCTCTCTCTCTCTCTCTCTCTCTCTTTTCTACATGAACTTACAACTGTGAATGAAATATATGACTTTTAATTTTGACTCTCTCACTTTATTTTAACTCTCTCACTTCATATTCTGTTCAAATTCTTCTCAACCTCTCTTTTCAGGGTGTTCCTACGCTCTTTCAAGATTTACCAAACTTTTCAGAAAACTCAATTCATCTGGTACTCAGAAAAGCAATACCTAAACAATTCGAGATTTTGGAAATTTCCCAGGATACTCTCTTTCTCCATCTCTCTCTCTCTCTCTCTCCTTCTCTCTCCCTTGCTCTCTCTCTCTCCCTCTTTTCCCTCTTACTCTCTCACTCTCTCTCTTCCTCTCTTTCTCTCTCTCTCTCTCTCTCTCTCTCTCTCTCTCTCTCTCTCTCTTTTCTCTCTTCCTCTCCACAAGCTCGACTCACAAATCTCTGGCAACAGAGCTGCTGGTGAGGCGGGACCCGGCCAGTCGTCTCGCTCAATTTTGTCCAGCTCATTGGCTAGTTTGGGCTTGGCACTGGGGAACATGCTCATCCTGATTGGCTCTTGGGTCCGGAGATCAGCAGGAGAAGAGCTGCGGCGTACCTTGACCACTCGCTTCGTTGTCGCTGGGGAAAGAGAAAAAGCCCAGACTGCTTGTTTTAGCTTTAGTAAGAGTTTTGAAACAGTCAGGTAATATAAATGCCAAAGAATAGAGGTGCTACTAGAGTGTTAAATCTACGAGCAAAAGAAGGAGGACAGATAAGGGCGATATATGTTTGATGGGAAAGAAGGAGCTAACCATAGCTGAGCACCTGCCAATCACGCAAAGACTGCTTGTTTGAGCAAAGTGAAGCTCACAGACACAGTATTGGTAACCCAGTGCAGGGAAAAAGCAACACAAACAAACAGAAGTAGAAGAGGAGAGAAAAGATCCTACCACGGGCACTCTCCAACTGCCTGCAAACACAGACTGTTTGTTTAAGTGAAGAGAAGCACAGTAACATAACGACTGCCATTCACAGCTTGGAAAAATACATTTATACAAACAGAAACAACAGTGGGAGAGCAAAGGAGAAGAACTTATCAGAGTGGCATTCTCTAACTACTTCCAAACAAAGATTACTGCATTGACTGAAACAAAGGCAAATTTCAAGGGTACTTACAGAAGTACAGAAAAAGTCCAATCACAGTTGACAGAGAGGCTGAGGGATAACAGCCACCACAAGGAACAGATCGGGACAACAGAGGCAGTGAAAAGATCAGAAGGAGCAGACCACACCAGTACACCCACCAACCACCCTCAAAGAAATAACAAATGTAGGCTGGCACACAAAAGAAAAAGGGATGGGGATGATGCCAGTATTATTTTTGTGACCAAAAAAACCCGCGTCATGTACTGCAAAATATGCTCTAAAAAACAAGACACTGTTACAGCTTGAGCTAGCACAAACCAGAAGAAACTGTGTATGTCTCTTTCTCTACATCTCCCTCTCTATATTTCAATTTCTCTCCCTCTCTCTGTTTATGTCTGTCTGTCAGTCTGTCTGCTCTTTCTCTCTCTTTGTCCCTCTCACTGTCTCTCTCTCTCTCTGTATATATATATATCTCTCTCTCTCTTTCTCTTACTCTTTCCTCAAAACGATGATTCCAAAACCAGAGAAGTAGGCACTGTATACAGAAACTAAGAACAAAAGAGGGTACATGCCACTGAGAGCTTTGTGAACCAGCACAACAAGGGAGTTGCAATTTACAAAGATGGACAAGTTCAGTACATACCTAGGGCTGACATTCCTGAAGCTGTGGAAGAGAAAAGACAGAACAATGAAAGAAATAATATCTTACAAATAATGGTGCTATACCGCTGCATTGATAAACGAATCAAAAAGATTTTCCCTTTTTCTATTGGGTTAAAATATAAAATAATATATTAAGGAAAACGAAGCACATTTTTTAAAACCTCTGACAACATTCGAATGAAGATAAAAAAGGGAAAGAATTAGAACTCTTTACATAAAATGTACTCTTTCTTCTCCCCCATTCCAATCAAAAGATATCAATGAAAATGTGAATAATTCTTTATAAAATGTTAAAATTTTTCAACAGTAGACTACCACCATAACCTCAACAAATGATTTATCATTTAATTTTACCTGAGTGAAAGCTATAACGAATAAACTTTACGAACATCAATATGAAGCAAATGATAAAAGTGAAAAAAAGCTAACTAATCGAAAAAGTACTTGCTCAGCATTTTGAGTAACAACATGCCATATCTGCTGACTCTCTGGGCTCTTCTTATTCTTAGTTTAAGCCAGTTTATCCTTAAATAAAGAACATATCATATCTAAGAAAAATCAACTGTCATTATGTATACCTTTCTTCTTCAAAAAGTCGGGCGGGTCCTTCGAATATGTGAAGTTGGCTGAAAAGATAAAAGGTAAAAGTTATGAGATAATAAACTACAATGTTGTGTCATCTGTCTATAAAGCGCATTAAGCTTGCTGATGAGTGGAAATTTGTGCTTTACAAATGGTATTTATTTTTTGTCCACTAAAAAAACAAAACAGTTGTATTTTGTTGTAACATCAGTAAACACATTTATTGTACATCTACAGATATTTGCATACCAATAGCTTTTGAAGAAACACATATCATTAAGCTTAAAAATACATACACACATGGCATAAAAAAGTTCATTCAAAATACAAACGTTGGCAATACATATTTTCAAAAGAGTGCTCGTAATGCTGTGAGTAAAGTTAAGTTATATGTCACACTTCTCTGTGCATGAGAACTTAGAACGCAGAAAGCCAAAAAAAAACCCCATTTATATCTTTCCAAACAAAGATTTTGTCAACGATTGTAAGTCGAGAAAAAAAAATACTGACGAGGCCTATGGAAGTGTGATCCCCCTGCAGGCTTGGGCCGGCTGCTCTGAGGTGAGGCAGTGGCTCCCCCTCTCTTGAGGTAGCTGTCCCCTGGCTTGCCCATGCCAAGGTAGCTTGTGTTGTAGAAGCGGCCGAAGTTGGGCTCGGAGCGCCGAGAGTCTATGGAGTCCTGGGGGAAGACACAAACCACAAGATCAGCACACACATTATGTGTAGCTACATTTTATAGAACCCATGTTATATGTTCTATACGCAAACATACATAAAGTTCCTCACTTAGTGCATGATATTATGTTGGCGGGGCTATTTAAGTCCTAAGACAAATGAACAATCAACATGATAAATACGAAATGCAGAACCCATTCTGAAAAGACGAAAAATTCGAAAATATTTACCTCAGCTCACCATAAGCATCTCTAGATACAAGAATCATAACTCATACACTGAGAACGAAAAAGTGAAGTAAAGTCTGCATATAAAAACATACTCTTTACCCTTTATTTAACTGGAGACCACAGGAGCATAAAACTTACCCAGATTTCAATGCAAAGAGAGACAGACTGACACAAAAAAGGTTAGCATAGCATTGTCAAGGGTATTCGAAGGGAAAAGGAGATCACGGGAAGAAATTTCAGCAAGACAAGAAATAGATATATACATGTAACAGTGACATCCTGTCACAGCTAGCTAAGAAGACGCGCTCTTGGAGCCCACACTAAGAGAATGTTAGATCAATGGAACATCATGGAAAGATGGACTAATAATTGATAGGAAAATGGAGAAGGAAAAGGACGAGCACAAGGCGAGGGTTTCTATGTTTGGTTTTAAATGAAGAAAAGCATATCAATCAAGATGACTGAAAGGGATAAGCAAGACAGACAGAAGTACAATGTAGCTGTGGGAGAACAAAGAAAGAGGATTTACTCTATAAACAACTCAATGCGGTGAGGAGCAAGGGCAAAAAATACACGTATTACTTAACTCCACCTATATGTGTTAGAGCAACACAACAATTCTCACAATTGTTTTATCACTTTTGCTCCTCTACACAAACTAACTAAAACATTATATATCTATATATTTTTTAAAATTATTTATGCCTATGTTTGTGTGTTTGTGTGTGTGCGTGTGCATGTGTGTGTGTGTGTGTGA